CTGACACTTATGAATTATGTTATCATTTTGAATTTCATATATTACTTCTTCAACTTGCTCTATTAACTGTTTCATCATTTATGCATTTATATTTTCTATTTAAAGCATTGATTATGATTGTAACAGCAACTATTTATATATTCTATTCACATTATTTTAATTTTTATTATATTATTAGTAATAGATATGATTTAACAAGTAATTTATTACTTATACAGACAACATTTGAAATATTTTTTTTTATTCTTTTATTAATTGGTCTTGATCGACGAGTAAAAAAATAAATTTGAATTAAGAAATATATGAATGATAGATTTTTGTTTTTCTTATTTAGATTGAATATATGAGTCGATTAGATTTATTATGGACAATTAAATTTCAAAATGAAAAACATGAAGTAGAAACTGTGAGCACTATTAGTCGACTTTTATTAGAAAATATTCTACCTAAACATGTGGCTGAAATAATTATTAAAGAAAATATGAGTCAGGTAAAGAAATTCATTTGATTAAAAAAATAGAATTAAAATTTTCTTTCAAAATTGATTATTTCTCAAATGGATATTTTTTGAAGAATAATTTTATTTTTTCTAGGGTCTATATCATGAAAGTTATGATAATGTCGTTGTTATGTTTGCATCAATACCTAATTTTAAAGAATTTTATGTTCAATCAGATGCTAACAATGATGGATTAGAATGTTTAAGATTACTCAATGAAATTATTGCAGAATTTGATAAAGTTTGTTATAAAAAATTATTTATTTATTTATTTTCCTTTTTTTTACTCTTATTTAGTTATTAGATAAGAATAAATTTAGTTGTGTAGAAAAAATAAAAACTATTGGTAATATATATATGGCAGCTGCTGGTCTCAATCCAGGTGCAGAACATAGAATGGTATTAATAAAAAGATTCTTTATAGGCATGTTTGAATATTTTTTTTTTTTTTTTTTGTTTAGACAAGAGAACGATATAATCAGAATATTGTTGCACTTGCTGAATTTGCTTTTGCTATGATTGCAGTACTTGAAGGTATTAATCGAGATTGTTTCAATGATTTCAAATTACGTGTTGGCATGTGTAACGGTCCTCTTGTTGCTGGTAATTGAATATATACAAATTTGTTATATTTTTGATTATACTTAAAATTCTCGATAATTCATCAATATTTTGAAATTCAAATATTTTAGTATACTAAAAGATTTTAAGATGTATTAGATTTCTGTCAAGAAATGATTTTATTAGAAAATATAAGGAATTCTTCTGCTTTGAATTACTATAAATTATTTAAGTTCTATACTGATCTTTTTTTTCAGGTATTGTTGGTGCCAAAAAACCTCAATATGATATTTGGGGAAATACAGTTAATGTTGCATCACGTATGGATAGTACTGGTGTAGATAGCTGTATTCATGTAAGTAAACAATAAATTGTTATATTTCGAAGAAAAAAAAAATAAAACAATTTTTGTTTGATCATTACAAAGGTACCGGAAGAAACTCAAAAAGTTTTATTTGAAAATGGTTATCCATGTGAATGTCGTGGACCAATATATGTTAAAGGTAAAGGTAATATGACAACATATTTAGTACGACCACGTGGTTATATGATGCCAACATCAACTTCACATGTTTCCTCAAAATTCAATGCATCGAATAAATGAATAAAAATTCAATATTTTTCTTCCGAGTCAGATTTCATCCCAGTGAACATAAAGCTCATGTGGCTTTTCTTTTGTTTTATATATATATACGTATATATATATATGAAATAATGCTGGTGATGAGAACAGTATCTATTAATTTCTTTTTTGTATACATTTGATTTTATTTTACATAATAAAGAAATTTAGTGTGAATTATAGAAACAAAAGATCTGACGAACGACAAAAAAAAAATGTTTCGTTTCGTCTTTAGCGTTTTTTCTGCATTCGTGGAACTGATGTCGTTGGTCGTTTGGCTAAAAAAAAAAAAAAGAATTCTGATACACTTTATAAATCTATCAACATGATGGTATGCTTAAACAAATATTTGAGCCTATCGAAGTTTCGTGACTCTGCTTACAATCTATATATATATATATAATGATCAAGGTGTGTCTGTTTCTCTGTACCGGGTTAAAGGTTAAATAAGGCTATAAGGAGAAGGTGCTAAGGACTGCTGTATAGGGACTCATAGGTCCTTAAGGGCTATCATATGGGGGAACTCATATGTTCTGAAGGGCTGTTCTATGGAATACCCATCCATAGACCTTGAAGGGAGTAAGGCAATAAGAGTATAAAGCTACAAGGGCGAAGGCTACATGTACTATAAAAATATGTGTGATATAACAGTATGAAGCCATAGGGCTATTTATCTATATACATAATATCGAGTGTCTGTATGTCTGAGGTCATACGTTAAAGAAGAAAACAGTCGTGCAATATGCAAGGACTCACGCTAGTTAAATAATAACTTACAGTAATCAACAGATTGATTTTGACTTGATATTTGACCGGTCATAGTATCAGATGAACTTTTATTTCTAAAGAAATAGATATCATAATCTGAAAAGAGAAAAAGAAAAAAACATTTTCAATAACTTACTCCAAAACTGTTTGTTTTTCATGATCAGTAAGAATTGTTTCATCAGAAAATAGAATTGTATTAAATGGTACTTTTTGTTTACGTTTATCACCATCATTTTCATTCATTTTATCTAATATACCCGTCCAAACAAGTAAATCATCAACAAGTAACTAAGAAAATGTATTATTTAAGAAATTTTATTTTCTAAAAATAATCATACATACAGAAAATTCTCTTACACCACGATTAGGTGTTTTAGTATAATTCCATATTTTTATCATTGATACAGATGTTGGTCGATCGAATATAACAAAAACTCGATTGATCTTAAAGAAAATTATAAATTTTTTTTTTCACTCAATATTTTAATCAATCTACATACCACATATGGTAAAATAGGTGCAATCCATGAATGTGTACCATCAATATCATTATTTTCACCATCAATTAATTTATCTGGTGTACGAACATCATCATCCGTACCTAGATTAAGTGTATTTACACTCTGTGGACAAGCAGCAATATCTATTAATAGAAATCAAAAAATTATTTTTTTTCGTTTTTTTTTCTTTTTTCTATCTGTTTTTATAAAAATTGATTACTTTGTTCAGCTAAACCAATTTGTTCACCATTTTCATCATAAAATTCTAAACCATTCAATCCAATATAATAAGTATCACCATGTGTTGAATGAAGTTGAAATTCATAAATAACTATAAATAAAAATTTTCTATTCGAATTTTTTTATTCTTTAATAATAATAATAGTATATATTCAATTCAATTAAAATATTGTCAATAAAATTTTAATATTAAAATCTAATTTATTGGAAAGAAATTAACTAACATCGAATGTCTATAGATGAGTATAGATCATCCGCATATCTACACTCATATCCTCAAATTTGATTCATATAAATAACTTACATCCATTTGGCATTGATATATCTGAAACACCATCACGATTAGAAGTTGATATTTGTCTAAAAATATTAAATTAAATCTAATTATATTATTCATCTTAATATATATATTTTTTTTCTACTTGTTTTGTTGTCGTTTATGTTCTTCTTCTATCATTGTTCTTCCATAAGCAAAAACAATTTCTTGTACAAAATCAAAATAACAATGACCAGGTGCACGTCTTAATAAAAAACCTTGTCTTGGTGAAATAATTTTATCATTTAATTGTACATGAAGTCGTTTAATCTATTGAAATAAATACAAAATATTTTTGTGTTTGTTTTCATTACAAATAATAAAACATACTCCTCGATAAGTTTCATCTGATGATCTATTATAATTCCATATACGTAAACCATGTAATTTTTTTGATACACTTAATGTTATTATAATACGTACTCTATCTTTTTTATTAAATGGACATAACCACATATGATTTTCATCACAAGTAACATTTTCACCATCGAATAATCTAAAAATAATATTTAGTTAGAAATGGCACAAAAACAAAAATTTTTTTTTTTTTATTACTTATCAAGTGTTTGAACATCATTAGCATATTCTGGAATTAGAGTTATATCACGAGGACGAGCATCAAATGATTGAATAACACAATCAGCATCATTAACATCTACTACTTCAATACCTGTTAAACCACAATAATCATCATAACCCCATGTTTCTGTTACAGTTAAAATCAATTCTAAATATATTTATATAAATAATGTATTATATGTTTTATAGATTCATAAAAATCTCTAATACTTCTTCCATAAAATTCTGCTACTTGATTTGAACCTGATGAACGAATAGCTGTAAAGGGTCGTCGTAATGTAGCACGTGTCATTGGTCGAACCTATTTTAATATTTATGTGAATTCTTTAAACAAAAGTATTAATATTTACATCAGTTCCGTCCATGATTGATTGATTAGTGCCTATTTTCATATTCTCATCATCATCTTGAACAGTTTCTTGATCAACATACATTTCATCATTAGTTGATATTTTTTCAAGAATTCGATCGTCAGTAGTAAATAAAATAGTCTATATATTAGAAAACAAAAAGAAGACAAGAATAAGAAAGATTTATTTTTATTTTTACGAACTTCTCCATAACCTGATAGATCATTTGTAGCAGTTATATTTCCACAAGCTTGAGTAATTTCTCCTTTGAATATTATACGACCATTAAGTGAAATCTCTACATCTTTTGCACCACGTGCTGAATGAATACGATTTTTATTATAATTCTATAATAATAAAACAACAAAAAAATGTATGTAGTAAATCGATTTTTGAAATGTTGAAAGGGGATCGGAATCTAGGAATGAATCATTTTTAGCAGATAGAAATTTTTAAAAGCAAGTAAATGAAGCGATTAGGTTTTATTACCTCATAGCTTATCTTTTGACTTCATTTTAATTATGTGTTAATGGTCTGTATTAAGATATTGAAAAAACACAGATCTTTTCTACTCTATCAGTTAATTTTATATATCAATAGTAAAGCATAAAGGAAAGTTTACACAATTGCTACTAGCGAGACACTTGATATCGATGAACACCGAACAGAACTCTCAGAATGAGACGTTTCAGCAGAATCTATAGCCCGATATCTTACCTACAACTAATACTAACTGCAGCTCTGAATAGAAAGTCAGTCCGACGCAGAGTTCTTGTGCTCAACTGCTTGAGTTCCCAATACACAAAATTTCATGGCTGATGGTACAAAGATTTGAACACAATACTTTATGGATACATGTCAAACTACGTAGTCAGAGTGGCCAATATTGTACCAATTGATAACTATCTCAGTCTCATCATGATTTCTATCAATTTTTAGCATTTCAAAAACTATTTTGTATTCATCAATGGAGAAGCGATCGCTTGAAAGTAAATTTCACTGGGAAACAACTGTCGTGGATTGAATAAAATCATTTCGCAAAAGCTTAGTAAAAAAAAACACCAGGAAATTGATTTTTCCTCTAGGCGATTTTATTGGAGTGTTTGGACCCATCAATCCTGATAGGAAATCCTTTTTAAACTCTTCAAAACTATTAACATCGAATGCAAAAACTCAAAGCTTTAGTTTGATACTTCTTTCTACACTTGAGTAATAAGATCAAACACAAACAGTGTCTAGTGAAATTGCTTTAAATCTGATTTTAATCAACTCGCGATTATATTTTAAGTGAATGAAATGAAAAAAAACCAAAGATCAAATTCTTACCCATATTCTAATCATTGCAATTCTAGTTGGATGTTCAAATGTAATATAAACAAAATGATTTTTACCAGTTGTAAATGGTGCAAGCCACATATGAATATCATCTCGAGTTTTATTTACTCCATCAATTAAATTTTTTACTACACGTGGATCATTACCATATTCAGGTAGAATATTTATATCGGGTGGATCTGCTGTAATCTATCAAGAACAAAAAAAGAAATTTTTTTTTTTTTTTTAATTAAATAAAATAAACAGAAAACAACTATGCGTTACTTTTTTAATTGGTATTGGATAACCTTCAGCAGAAAATATTTCAATACCATTTAAACCAATATAATGACGATCGCCCCATGTTGTTTTTAAATTTAAAACTAATTGTTCTCCATTAGGTAATTCAGGTATTGAAAATCTAGAGAAATGAAAAAAAAAAAAGAAATTTTTATTTGCTTAAATAATATCAAATTTATTTTACTGTTCTTCATCATTTTCATTTTCAGTTTTGGAAGTTCCACTTGGAAGATATTCATCAGCTTGTTCATCTAATAGATTTAAAAAATGTTATTCATGAATTGAATGGAAGTTTTTTTTAATTTTCTGAATACTTTCAACCATTCCACGATGTCGTCGACTGAATAGATCAATTTGTGTTATTGATCTTTCAAGCCAATCTGCTTGACGATCTAATAATTTTCAATAATAATAATAATTAAATTAATGAAAAAACATTTGACTATACCATTAGAACTATTATCTCGAAAAAGATTTCGTTTATTTGATGCTTGTTGTGGTTGAGATGATCTTTGATCTTTTATCTCAGAACCAATATGAACTTCTCTAAAATATTAAAAACAAAGTCGAACAATTCATTCATCTGTCAAGAAATATACATATGTATATATAACTTACTTTGGTTGTAAAAAATTTTCAAGATCAAGACTATCAACAGTTTTTGCTGTTCCACCCATAAATAATTGTTGATTATTTGCATGGGTACTACTATTCTTCATTAAATCTCCTCCAGCAAGTCGTGCTCCTATTTAGATAATAAGTAGATATTTATTAATTATTTCATCATAAATATTAAAATATATATTTGGATCACTTTAATATTTTAATAATGAATATGACTGTATTCACAAATGCATATTATTATTAGATGAACTACTCAATGATTATATGATGAAATTTTTTTGTTTTTAATTACCCGGTCGTTTTTCTCCCGGTCTTGGTACATTGTATTTTCCAGTAGTGGGCAGTTTTGATAAATCTCGACGACTCATTTTGTTTTTTGTTTTTTACAAATAATCTTCGCGTATTTGACAATTAATAAAGAAAAATATATGTACGAAAAAAAAAAATCACCATTATGTTCCATTCTTTCTTATTTTTTGATTTACGTTGTCAAGGTGCCTTCTTCACTGCATAACGATCGATAATAAGAGGAAAGAAAAGAAAAATTCTCTTTTTTTTGTTTTAGATAATGTTCCTTTATATTATATAGAGAAGCAAAAAGAATACGCTGACCTACCTACCGTTGTCGATAAACGATATGTTTGTTGTTGAGATTTAGTTAAATGAACTGTTGTTGATATGTCATCAAGAGATAAAGCTATAAAATATTTTTTTTATTATGAAAAAAAAAAAAAAATTCTCGACATGACTTAAAAAACTTACAAAGACTTTGATCAGAATCAGAATTATCTTCATCTGATTTCATTTGTAATTGAGTATTTCTAAACCAATTTGGCATCCAACTTTGATCAACATTTACTGGTGTCATTAAACGATAAGTGATATGATTATTTACAACATTTGATTGTATTTGATTTTGATCAAATTCAATCATTTGATCATTTGCATGTAGTGATTTTTTCTTATGTAACATTTGAGAATTAATATCAGTTGTAATAGAACCTTGTTCAGTTTTAATTTTTGTTTCTGTTGTTGATGTCCATTGACGACGATGAGAATTCGATCGTTTAGGTGTTTTTGATAAAGTCGGAGATGACAAATTGAAAAAAAACGGTGCCGGAGTTTGAATTCGATTAGAGGAATTCTCAAGTCTTTTACGTAGAACAGATGGTGGTCGTCGAGGTGGTGCGCTATGAACTCCATTTACATATAATTGAAAGCCATTTTCACGTTGTTTTAAATAATCATCATTTGTTTTATGTTGATCATTATATTCTTTAATTAATTTATTTTTTTCTTGTAATTTTTTTAAATATTCATAATATTTATTATGAACTTTAGTACGATATCCGGGAACCTAGTTCATAAAATATTTTTATTCAAAAAAAAAAATAAAATAAGAACAATATCTTCATTCTTACAGCACTTTTACTTCGAAAAGTTTGTCGTAATGGATTAAAAGATTCAATCGAAGGATCAATATTTGTATCAGTCATTATTAAAATATCTTCAATAAGAAAATACAGAAGTGAATGTTCATTTCGAATGTCTCTCCTATAAAGTCCGTTGGGTTCGAATCTAAAAATTTTTAACCCAACGGGGTGTATTAGTCATTGAATACAAAAAAATATCATGTATTTCCTGGACGACTGTCCAATGTCGATTAGTACAGGCTCTATAATCCGGTTTGAATCTCGAGAGAACTATTTCACGTTGTAAACTGAAATCGAACTTTATTGTTGAGTTGAAGCAAAAGAAAATAAAAAATCTATGACATTAAAAAGCAATCGAAATTTTGTCAAGAAAAAAAAAACAGAGAAGTCGAACCAATGACTTCTGTCATTCAGCATCGCATAAGCACTATTCAAGTCGATTTGATGATATATATTTTTTTTTTCAAAGCTATGTTCAATATCGTTACATGAAATGTTAATCCAAATGGGCTCTAGTGCTGCTATATTATCAACTAGATGTATGTGTTACATATTCAGTGCGATAATTTTGTTCTAGTGTGTAATGATTCAAGCAAAAAAACAAGAATGTGTTATCTAATAAAATTGAACGAACTTTTTGTTAGTTTTATTATTAACGCAATTCATTAAGAATGAACGTTTTAATTTAACATACATATTCCGATACTTTTCATTTCCAATACTTTATACTACTCATATGGACTGTTTGTTCGCTAGAGGTATCTAAGATACCATAGACTCTCATTTGGATCAGTCATAAATGAATTAATATTAAATGAGCATTGATGAATTCAAAGTTCAAAATAAAAATATATCGTTTTTTAAGTAGAAGATGTCGTTCATATACAAGCATACAGAAGTCGTAGATTCAACCAATAATAATATTGTTATTTAGTTTTATTCTTGCACCATCAATTGTCAATTACTATTTTGTGGTTGGAATGATGATAAATACTGAAAAAATAATCGAAGTCGTGCTATCATAATTTTATAGTAATATTCACAATAAAAAAAGATGGCATGTAGTAGTACTACAATTACTGTATCCGGTCATAATGCACAATGGGAATGGGAAGGTGATAAAAGTATTTGGCAACAGTATCCAATTAATATTCAACAAGAAATATCTCAAGCATTCGATACTGGAAATAAAGAAGTAAAAAGATAAATTTTCTTTTTTTTTGAATTCAATCAACAAAATTTCTATATCTATTTTTTTTATTTTCTTTAGGTCGATGTTAATATAACAGATGAAATAAGTATGAGAATTAAATTTAATGATATGATACAAATGAATAAAAAGACAAAATTTATGCGTCGTATTCGTCTTTGTCTTGAATTAAAAGATGAAAATGGATTTTTTATTTATGAATGGCAAAATGAAAATAAAAAATGGGAACCTTATATAGCAGAAATAATGATTAAAATAGTTGATGCAATTAATAATGATCAAACAACATTATCTGTTACTAGTCAAAATCGTTCATATAATATTGATCTAAAGAAATTAATTCAAACAAATACAAGTACGAATGTTACTCGAAAAATTCATCGTATTAAATCAAGTTAGTTATATTGTTTTTTGTTTTTTGATTGATTTCATATTAAATAAATATTTATTTAGTGGCAAAATTACCATCGAATACTTCAACAACATCAAATAAACGTTCATTAGAAAATGATGAAGAACCTACAGAAAGTACGACTAAAAAACGTGCAGTATCAGCATCATCTGGATCAGAAAAGAGCTCAGGTAAAGAATAATAATATTAGTTTGTAAATAATTTTTTTGTTTTTCTTTGTAGTGCGCACTGTGACAACAGTTGCTGGTCAAGCACCTGTTGATGTTGAATGTAAAACATTGTTTGGAAAAGTTCATGTTTATAGTGAAAATAAAGATATATTTGATTGTATGCTTAATCAAGTAAGATAGTTTTTTTAGTTTGTTGTTTAATATAAATCGAAATGTTTTATGTTAGACAAATATTGGAAATAATAATAATAAATTTTATTTAATTCAACTTCTCGAAGATAATAATAGTAAAAAATATCATGTTTGGTTACGTTGGTAAGAATAGAATTTATTAAATGATTAAATATTTATTAATTACTTTTTAATTTAGGGGTCGTGTTGGTTATACTGGACAAACTTATTTAGAAAGTTTCGATGGTAATTTAGATAATGCCAAAAGATTCTTTTGTCAAAAGTATGTAGTTTATATTTAATAGTAATAATTATAGTGTACGAGATATTATGCCGGATTGATCTTGATAAGATGAGTAGTAGAATAATATCCATTGGGTTTTAATTCAGATAACGTGATATTCACAATCTCTTTAAAATATGTTCAAGATAGTATCTGTTTGTAGTTTGTCGTCTCCATAGAGAAAAACTCAGGAGTAGGGAGCTGCGGATTCGCGTCTTTGTGGACCCGGACCCACCCGGGTCCCGGTTTGGAAGAATCCGCAGCTTCCTATTTATGAGATCTTCTACCCTCATCAAATCTACAACTTTCTGATGGACTCTCCTATAGATTATGACTGAACTAAATCATGGATTAAAATAGTCATCAATAGAGAAAAACTTATCATAGACTCAAATTTCCGGATGCTATCTTCTATGATATACTGGGATCACAATGACGAAAAAAATGACTTTCCTATTTCTCCGAGATGGAAATTATATTTTTTTTACAGGCACTGGATTCTGTTTGAAGTGGGTATCTTTGTAAGAACTATCAAAAATCAACAGAACAATATTTTTTGAAATAAAAAAAACAAAACAAAACTACCTATCCCGAATAATGTATTGTATATGCGAAAAAATTTTCACCTGCCAGAGAAACGGAAGCGTTTCTGTACTTTTAAGCTGATTTGAGGAAAACGTAGAATAATATATTTGATTTCTTCTTGAAGTTTTTTAATGTTTAAAGACAATTTTTGTACTCGATAGATAGATACTACTCAAGACTGTACAATGACTACAAAAAAATTTGGATCACGAAAGGAAGGAGGCAATCCTTAAAACATTCTAGATAAGTAAAAAATAATAGATAAGGACTGAAAATAAACTGAGCTCATCTTCAGGAAGAACATAAACTTTTTATTTTAATCCACAATTTTTATCTCAACTAGAACATTGTTAAGAAAGCCAAAAATGCACGAAATATTATCCAGAAATCTTGAATCAGTCGTTTTCGTAGTCATTTCAATGATTCTCTATTACTTCTCTCGTACAACATTACATTTCGAATTTATATTCGAAAAAAGTATAAAATTGTTTTTATTTCTAATAGATTTAGTGAAAAAACAAAAAATGATTTTTATCATCGTGATACATTTACAAAATATTCGGGAAAATATGATTATGTTAAACTTGATTATAATCCATCGGTAAATTATAATTGATTTTAAATCGTAGGTTTATTATTATTATTATATATAGACTTCGAAAAATAATGATGAAAATGATGAAAACAAAAAAAAACGTGCAGCAGCACTTGAAGAACTTAAAAATCGACCAATACCAGAATCAAAACTTGATAAACGTGTTCAAGATATTATTGAATTAATTTGTAATGTACGTTTAATGGAAGAAGCATTACTTGAAATGAAATTCGATGCAAAAAAGAATCCTCTTGGTAAACAAAAAGATCATTATTTATTTTTCTTCAATCATATATTTCTTTTTTCTTTCTTAAGGTAAACTTAGTTCCGCACAAATTAAAGCTGGTTATGCAGCATTAAAAGATATTGAAAATTTTATTAATACAAATAATTTTAATGCTGCTTTTATAGAAGCAAATAATACATATTATACACGAAGTATATTTTATTTTATTTTATTTTCTATAATAGAATCGAATGAATATTTTTGTTTAGTTCCACATGAATTTGGTCGTCATACTCCACCATTAATAAAAACAACACAACAATTAAAATATGAAATAGAATTACTTGAAGCACTTGATGATATTGAAGTTGTATTTAATGCTTTAACTACTAATACAAATAATCATATTAATCCAATTGATCAAAATTATGAACAATTAAAATGTAAATTAAATCCAATTAATAAAACTGATGATATTTATCCATTAATTGATAAATATCTTCAATCAACACATGCATCAACACATCAATTATATAAAATGCAAATAGAAGATATATTTGAAGTTGAAAAAGAAGGTGAAAAAGAAGTATTTAATGATATTGGTAATAAAATGCTTCTGTGGTAAGTTAAATTTAAATACAAAGAAAAACTATGCTATTCATAATAACAGAAAGATTGTTTTATTCTATCTATTTTTGAACACATTTCTTCACCATCCTTTTACATAATCATTCAGAAATGGAAATAAGATATTATAACGAGAGGTCTTTGATCATATATCAACAATGCCTGTCATGGTTGGGAGTGGGTGAAATATTAATAAGACATCTGTGACGTCCCCATTGGTTCAGTCTGTCATGACTTATGACGCGAGGAGATATTTCTAAAATGTTCGTGACATTGCTATCGGTAATGTCTATCAAGGCCTGTGCGGATCGGTCGGTTCAGTGTGTCACGGTGTGTAATGCAAGGAGGCATTTCTAAGATGTCCATGACGTTCCTATCGGTTCTGTCTGTGACATTTCCATGTTAATGTTTGTCACGGTCTGTAGGAGGAGATTTCAAATGTTTATCGTATCGGCTATAGCACTTCTATTAGATCGTGTTCTACAAAACAAAAACAAACAATTCATTTTTTTATATACTAGGCATGGATCTCGTTTAACGAATTTTGCTGGTATAATGAGTCAAGGTTTACGTATTGCACCACCAGAAGCACCTATAGTAAGTTATATAACAATGTTTATAAAGAAAATATAAATTTATATAAAATATTTTAGACTGGTCATATGTTTGGAAAAGGTTTATATTTTGCTGATATGAGTAGTAAAAGTGCGAATTATTGTTATCCAGATCGAAATAAAAATATTGGTCTTTTACTTCTATCTGAAGTAAGTTTCTATCGTTTTTT